ATCGAGAGCGAACAGTTCGGCCGTAACGGACTTCCGTTGCATTTGTATGGATTTACACTCTAGTCGCGCCTAAAGAAGTTTCACTTCGAAAAAACGTGGTTCAATGTAGAATTAACTATATCGAGGTACAGAAAAATTCGTAGTTTTCAAAATTTTCAAATAAAATTCAAAGTTTCAAAAATTCGAATTCCAAATTTTTCATAATTTTCAAAAAACATCGATTTCCTACAAACATTTTAGAATTTTTCGAATTTTTTTTTATATTATCAAAATCTTATATTATCGGTTATATTCAAATTTCCAAATTCTCAGAAAATAAAAAAAATCGATTTTTTTTCCAGACATTCCAAAAAATTTTCAACTTTTAAAAAATTTCAAAATTATCAAATAAATCAAAGTAAAAAAAATGAATAATTTTGTTGTTCGTCGCCTAATTCAATGCGCTCTTACACATTTACAGTATTTATAATAAATAATCTATTTGAGAATATTTAAAACAATTGTAATTATTTATTAAATGAATTTCATTGATAATTGATTATTTTTATTCCTCCAATGTTTAATTACGGGAAGTTTCAGCAATTTGCCTTAAGGCACAATGCCACTAGTTGTTTTTCTCGGTTTTAAAAAATAAACTAAAATATACTGAAAATTGAAAATCACATGCGGCCATCACTCTAGTTCTTTTATTATATAAATGATTACAACGTGAACAAAATATAGAGCAAAGCTTCTCTGGTAAATATTTATTTTGATGTATCGTCCTGTTTGAATAAAAAAGATTAACAACGCGACACAGAATGCCGGTAGATCAAAAATTGAACCCGTTTGATTGTAGGCCATTGTTGAGCGTAAATCCTTTTATAAGTTTATATTGGATTATTTTATTTTTAGAATTCAATTCTATTACCCATATTTTGTTTCTGTCAATCACGCACGTGTTACATGGAATATTCATATTTTCGAAACGAAATAATCGTGTTAATATCTCTAAATAATTTATTTTTGAAATATACAAATAGGAAGAGATTTGCAGATATAGGAAAAATCTGTAAAAGTAATGTAACTCTATAATAAATATTATGGTTAGGGGATGCTGGGTACGGTGGTGCCAGGATACGGTAGTGACAGTCGCCTTAACAGCTAAACTGTAATGATTTTGACAAGGGTCCAATGGGAGAAATATGAAGTATGTTTATTCGAACAAGTTTCCATCATTGCAATAAGTTTGAATTTTTTGGTTATTTTGCTGCGAGTTGAACATCAGTAGTTATTTACCAGCCATACCAATTAGGGTTGATAAAAAAAAAGTGGCACAACCGTACCCAGTCTCCCCTATAACGTCACTATACCACTATTAGAGAACATGACACCACATTACATTTTAAAAAAAGATCAAGATCATCATAAAGTCACTCTAACTTCTTAGAGATTGGCCACGTGGTAAGAACATAGACTAGAATCGTTGGTTTCTAGTTAGATTCCCTTCTTGGTCAGCTTGATATCGGGCAGCAGTGATGTCATTTACACTCGAGATTATAATTCTTAAATGCTAGAAACACATTTATTATCTTCCGAAAGACATTAGTCCATCACTGGGTTTCCATCTAGAATTAACTGTAAGTTGAAGAATGAACTTGTACAGTACAGTTTTTATTGCCCAAATAATCTTTTTTATTATTATTATTAAATTTGTATGTAACACTCAGAATAAAGTAACTAATTCTATGAGCTACAGTGAGAACATAATCTAAACAAATATATAATGTAAAGTAAAGGAGAAAAAAAACTAACTATAATAATAATAAAAAAAAAAATAAATAGAAATAATAATTATAAAAATTATATAAAAAACAAAACAATAGTTAAGAGAAATGTTAATAATAATAATAATTGTTATAATAGAATAGAAAACTGTTCCAAAATAATCAAATAATTGTAAAAATTTATTCAAAATTAGTTGCATGTTACAATATCAGTAAAATTTTATTATAAATCATCAAATTATTGTTATTCAAAGCAAAATTAAATATATAAAGTAAGGTTCAAAATTCATCTTCTAATTAACAGTAATTGTCATATTATCATCATTTTTCTTACAATTTTGGGGGCGTCCATTAACCACGTGAGGCTTTTAGGGGAAGGGGGGATGGATTTGACAAAAAATTACGAAATATTTCATGGGGAAGGAAGGGGTCTAGTAAAATATCACGTATTTATTTTTAACCTGAATTTTGAAAAAAAAAATCGAAAATTTTTACGTAACTAAAAGCACACTTGTTGTTTGTTGGGGGAGTGGGAGGCTAATTTCAAATATCACAACGTATCACAAAAGGTGAGGGGGGTTTAAAAATCATTAATGGACGTGATCAATGGACGCCCCCTCTGCTCTTTGTTAAAACGTTAATAGTGTTTAAATATATAAACACAAAATTAATTATGCTCTCATAATAAGCAAGTAATATATTTTTTATCGAATTTTTAATCAGATCTAGATCATTTTATCTTTTTCCAACTTACTTATATCTTACTGTTGATATGCTTGATGCAATTTTTATAATTTAAGAAAATTTTATTGTGCAAATGATAAAATTCGTTTATTCATTTTGTGAATTTCTGTAAATTTAGAAAAAAAAATGCTTTTCATATTTTGTTTCGAAAAAATGGGTTTCTTATCTAACACAAAGAGTGAACAAATTAAGCGTTTGCGTTCAAACTAAACGCTATTACATAAAACCTTAAATAGGTACTTATTTATTATCATATGCAGAACTACGCTCATAAAATTTACTGCCTAATGATTTATATGCAAATCATAATACAATTTTGTATTTGATCTCAAATGCTAGTTTGGCTTTATAGGTTCACATTACTGAAATTAGCTCTATAATAGTTGACATTGTCCATTTGAAGTAATTGCCATTCAAATTATGCAATTTAGGCTTGCGGCCAATGAAAACTACATATCAGTTGGCAGTTGACGACATTAACTAACCACTGATTGTTCGGCGGGATATATTAGGCATTTATCCACGAACACATTCGAAAAAAGGGTATACTTTTTAAATAATAAAATTATTTGTTAAAATAGAAATACCATTTGGTTAAGATGTTGTAATTGTTAAAAAAATTGAAAATGAAAATTTATGCTTATCCTTACGCTCTGAAGGTTTCTAAACATTTTGGCATACCTTAGAAAAAAATGGAAGTATGTGTGTGTGTATGTAGTAAGTATGTATGTATGGATAATTTTTTACCGATGTTTTCTACTTATACTTGAAATGAATAAGTTTACATTTCAGAATAAAATATACAAAAGCATGAGATAAGGTTCTCTAATGCATGAATGTTTTTGGTGGGGGGTTTGCCAAAACTTTTTTTTGGAAAAAAATTGCACTTTTTTCATTCCTATACAAATTAGACTAATTGGGAGTATTCTGATCTTGAAGTTTAATAATTCAATTTTATTCTTTCATATATTTTCAAAGTTTGACTAAAATCAAGTATATGGTTATAAGAGGATTTTTCAAAATTTAATTTTTTTTAGATGTTTACGATAATCCTCTGCAAAACTTTAAACGCGTTTTTGTCGAAACTGTTTCGATGCGATACCCACGATTTCTCAACTCCTACTAAACTGATTTACTTGATATTTTTCCAGAGGCCTCCTCATAGACTTTTCTTCAGTATTAACTACGTATTTTTCAGACAGCCGGTATTTTGCGAAAATGAAAATTATTTTATATTATCTATAGTTTATACGATTGTGGAATTATTCTAGATTAAAAATACATATAAAATACATATAATATAAATATACATACATACATATACTTTTCTCCAAATTTATTGAAGGACTAAAATCGTGGCTATAGTCAGATGCCAATTTTTCGAGATCTCCACAATCTTCTAGAATTAGAACTTTACGAATATGTTTAATTTTCATAATTTTCATTCTTAAAACAGGAATTAATAACTGGTAAAAAACTAAGCTGAAATATTGTTTGTCTTTTTTACAACTATTTTTTTTCAACCAATTCAAAAGTCGCATGAAATTCAGGCCTCTTAATATCAAAAATATTAATATTTGTTGATAATTCAAGTCTAATGTTCAGAAAAAAAACTTGATAAGGGAGGGACAGACTTCTCCTTCACAAAATATTCTAAAATTATCATGTAAAAATAGTTAGGGAATTAAAAACTTTCATTATGTGATCGAAATTGAATATTTTGATCTGGGTTGGTCTCATAACAATGACTCTAGAGTATCTTTATATTGATAACAAGTACTCTACCCGAAAGCAGGTCCATGGTATGAGAGCACCACAAATAAATGATTCCGTTTCCCTTCCTTGTTTGTTATTCGCATTACCTTTTTATTACAACTATTCACTTTTTCAGTATACATTTTCCTTTTCAATCTTGCTTCCATGCTTTCTGGTCATGTGATTCGGTACCCTGTATTTTCTCTCCTCGCGTAAGCCATCAACCATCTACCTTTTTCTCCTTCCCAATCCTTTCATCCTTCTATTTTACTTTCGACGACGTCATGTAGAATTCACTCTTTTTGCAGAGTTGGTTCGATCAAATTTCCATTTCTTTTCAGGATCGTGCTCAGTACATTTCTTTCTTTTCCCACTCTTCTCAGGACTTCTTCATTTGTTACCTTATCTGCCCACTTCATTTTTTCCATTCGCCTTCAGCACTACATTTCAAAACTATCCAGATAGTTGAAGTCGGTCTTTCTTAAAGTTCATGCCTCTGGTCCACATACATACGTACAGAATGTATTTTTATTTAGGTTTAATTGAACTTTTAATAAAATTTAATAAGCTGATTTTCATTTAAATCCATAAGTGTATTTATTATAATGATCTATTTCTTCTTCCCTAGGTTCGACCGCGCGTCCGCGTGCTCGTGCGTCGCCCGCCGTGCATCATCCGCAAACCGTCACCGACCAGTCATCAAACATTTCCCATTCCGTCAGTGTCAGTGCCGTGATCGGTCATACAACAATCGATCCGATAATTATCGATACTATTGCTTATTTGTTATCATCGATTAGTAAATATTTGTTATTGCGATGAAGTTGTCGGTATCCGCGTATCGGGCTCATGCGAGCGCGCACAAGAAGATCCTGTCGTCCAGTTACCAGCTGAACTACGGTTCTACGGGGAGTGCCAGTTCCAGCGGAGTGCACTGCGCTGACACGGCCCAACGTGTACTAACGGTAAGTGGTAATTGATTTATGGTAGAAAATGGAAACTATTGTTAAGGGAATTGGTTAGACTCCTTTGGAATAGTTTTATGTAGTTTATTCCGAGGATTTGAAATTTGAGTATTGAAATGAAATACGTAGTTGGTAGTAGGTCTAGGTATAGGTTGGGGTCCAATGTTGGTAGATCCACAATCCACACCAATGGTAACTAAAGTAGATGCTTTATCCAATTGGGTAATAAGTCCGTCCTACCCTTTCCTGGTGCTTCGAGTCGAGCAGTAGAAGTAAGTTTGAGTTACTGGTTTGATAAATAGGTCTCTTTGGAATAGTGAGCCCTTTCAGAAAGACATTAGCTGAAAGAGATAGACTTCTGGCTTCTGATCCAATATAAAATTCACTTGTAGTATTATACACTTTATTTATTTCTTCTTATTACAACTCCGACAGACATAATCTTCACGTAAGATATTATAAGACTACTCTCATAAGACATTACTAGACTAGACCCTTTCTTAAGACTCACTAGTTTACAATGATAATTTTGACTCAATATATTACGTATTGGACGTGACAAATTCCCGGAATGGCGTGCTTCCGTGTTCATGCAAAGATTTTGGACTTTGAATATTTAATTAACATTGAGCAATAAATTTATATTTTTATTAAAAAACACGTACAATCATGTTATTACAGAACAGTATATTAAGAAAAAAGTGAGCTTACCTTGCTTGTGAAGGCGGCTCATTCAGATAGTTGCTCGAAGTCTGAAACGTTCAGCTCACACGGAATTGGAATGTTGAGGAAGGAATTGACTCCAAACACAATAAGGAACACTGTTTGAATTTAATTTTGAATAATTATATAACACTCGGAGGATAATACAGTACTAGTCACAAAACATACGAACGAACAAGATATCATTTTTTTTTTCAATTCGAAAAACGTATATTTCGATATATAACACTTTTAGATCTTCGTTTTACCCATATAGGTATTGTTGTATCCATCTTAACTATTTTCTGAAAACAATAATAAGTATTTAGAATATAAAAATTATGTCATAATTGTGACAAAAATGGAGAAAAGAAAGATTTCCCAAAAAAAATTCCAACAATATTTCTAATAATGAATAATTTCACAAAAACAAAAAGTATACGAGGGATTTATTCGCTCTGAAGGAAACATCAAAGTGACGAGCCAAGTATCATTTACTGCTAGGGATCGATCAGGAAGTAGTTTGGCATGGCATATTTGCCATAACAAGCTATGTCTTTAGTGAATTGGCCGAGACCCGTAATGTTGGTATTATGGTGATCCCCTTATTTCTGGTAAAATTTTTAGTGAGTTTCTTTATATGGTTGAGTATTGTCGGTACGTCAGTCTGTTCATGTATGTATTTTGTAGAGTAGTAATATCTAGTCAGTTAGTCTCTTATTTTGTTAAGTGCTAGTCGTAGTGTCCTATTTTGTACTGTATGTAGTTTCTATAAGTTGGTCTTAGTCGCGTTCCATGCTGGAGTAGCATATGTCATTATAGGTCTGATTAGTGTCCGCTTGTTCTTCACGCTCAGCGGGCTGTTATGGTTCAAGAGAGGTCTCAGTAGATTTAACATCCCGTACGTCTGTCTAATGTTAATATTAATGTATTTTGTGAAGCTGAGTCTACGGTCGAAGGTTACTCCAAGATATTTAACATCCTTCAACTTCCACTCAACTTCATAGTTCAATACTTTTATCTTGTTCAAGTCAGTCAGTCTAGTCATGGCATTTTGTCAAAATTGGTGTAATGAACTTATTTGAAGCCTTAAAATGGTATTTAAATTATTTAATTAGCACTGTGATGCCGATTTTGTACGACTGGAATTTTTTCCTAATCGTTTGGATTATTTGAAAATTCTTGAATTGTCTGAGATTTTTTGCATATTTGAATGTATTGGAAGAATGAGTTGGTAGTCCCTGTCCAGAACTTTATCTAAGTCCTTATAGGTTTAGGGGCTAATTCTCGGGTAAAATAGAAATGATCTTTTATAGATCTATAACCGTATGAATTAGGTAAGAATCTCGTAATTCGAGATACCCAGCTGTAAGTCTGTAAATACTTGCATATTGACACCCTAAAACAATGGCAATTACATCCTACCATATGTAGGTTTTGAGAAAACTTTTAGGGTGTTAATATACAAGTATTTACAGACTTACAGCTGGGTATCTCGAATTCCGAGGTGAACTTACTATAATGACTGGACTAAGTCCCTAACTATCAGAAGCTATGTTTTTGCTAATACACATTGCAATTACACATAAAACCTAACATCCAAAATGCGCAAATATCAAAACATTAGCTCTGGTTAAACTTCACTCATGTGTTATCAAAGTGACAACAGAAAGTTGCAACCATGAAAAAAAAATTACACTTGTGCTATTTAGAAGTAGATTTAGAGTAAGACGCTTGATCGCACAGCAATCACATATCTTTTTAACAGTGACTACCAACTCATACGATCATGGACCCGTAGCATAAAATTTCAATTTTATCCCAGACTTAGCACTTTATTGTTATTAAATTAATAATTATTTCTTCCTTAAAACATCTAATATACCACAATTATTTCATTAATAAAGAGTTAGTCGCCGAGTTAGACCCGTGAACCCGTCCATAATGTTTTCGTGCCTCGCTCCCAAGAAAGGTGGAAAATATTTAATTAAACTTGTCGGAATTCCTGACTAATCTTCACGTCTTGATGTTATATAGGAACGAAACTTATTCCTTGTTCCTTGTACTCAGTGTCGCTGTGTTTATTCCGTTCCATGGGATTAACTTTTGCATGGAATTTCAATAGCGTACTGTTTGATCTACACCGGAAAATGTTTTATCTTCTAGACGAACGACTCTTCTTAGTAGTACATTGTATTGCATAGTATTTCACACTTGGGGTAAGGGGATCCATATCGAAATGGGCTAAGATAAAGGACCTTTGGTGAAAAGTTTTTGGAGTAGTCATTGCTGTAATTTAAATATATAAAGATACATATTGTAAGAAGTACCATGGAATAATTGTAGTTGAGGATACAATTATTGAATTTATGATGGGAAATACTTCCCGTAGAGTAGTTATAGTATTGGGCCGAAAATCGAATTTTCGAAATTTTTGCATATCTTCACGTTTCAGAGGTTTCTGAACATTTTGCCATACCTCATAACAAGTGGATGTGTGTGTGTGTGTGTTTTGTATGTCCGCATTTTCTCGTCCACCGATTTGAATGGTTCAAAAAACATTCGATCCCTAATGATAGGAAGATGTGCTGATTAGTTTTTGGCGAAGGCAGGTCCATCCGTTACGGAGATACGGGGCAAAGAGTGCAGAAAATACAAATCGAGTTTTTGAGAGAACGAAGTATCCGATTTGAATGATCCAAAAAACATTCAATTTGTAATGATTAGAAGTGGTGATTAGTTTTTGGCAAAGGCAGGTCCAGCCGTTGTCTAAATGTGCAAAAAATGACAGTTTTTGAGAGAACTAAGCATCCGATTTGAATGATTCAAAACACTTTCTGCTTGTTTTGACAAAATAATTGCTGGAAAAAAATATTAAAAAATTGTTTGTTTTAAAATTTTTTTTGTATATCGAAAATAATTCAGATTTTAATTTTAATTATGGTTAAAGTTCTAAAGCTCACTTATATACTTTTATAAATAATTTTAACTTTGCAATTCAGTTTATAAAATTCTTATAAATATTACACATTTTCCTTCATTTTAAACTGGATTGATTCAGTTGTGTTCATTTACTTATATCGTTAAACATATAAAAGTTACAGTATTTATAACAATTTATTAACTTCCCGTAGGGCAAGTTATAGTAATCGCAAAAAATCGAAAATGAAAATTTTTATATATCTTTACGTTTCAAAGGTTTCTGAATATTTGGCATTCCTTAGAAAAATGGATGTATGTGTGTGTATGTGTGTGTGTATGCGTGCGTGTATGTGTGTGCGGATACAAATTTTCGTCGACGATTTCGGGAACACCAATCAACCGATTTGAATAATTCAAAAAACATTCGATTCGTATTGATAAGGAGACGTGCTGAAAAAAATAATAATTTTTGGTACGGGAAGTTCCAGAATATGTCTTAAGGCATGATGCCATACACAACTAGTTAATTAATAATTTTATTGTACAGATTTTTTTTAAAAATTTCCCCCCCCCCCTTTTTGGAAAAAAATAATTTGAATGTTTTTCCCCAAAAGCAATTATTTTGCCAAAACAAGCAGTAAGTTTTTTGAATCAGCAAATCGTATGCTTAAATCTCTCAAAAACTGTAATTTTTTTAAGTGATCACACCATTTTTTTTTTAATTTTTGTATGAAAGTTCACATTATGAACGCTGATATAAATATTAACATACAAACTCAATTTACTATTAATAATATTTAATCTAAAATTATTACTTTTATTTTGCATTTTTCAAAACAGTACAAGAGCTTTTCATATTTACCTTCTCTATTAATACTCTACTTTATTATCTTATAGAATAGAGTATTCTTTATACTCTTCGTAGTAACAAATTTATAAACATCGGAAAAATTTTACTTCAAAATAGCTTAAAATTGATAATTTTAATACATTATATTTATTTTTATTGAATTGAATCATTATTTTTAAATTTATTTTTAACAGAAATGAGTACACATTAGAAATTATACTATAAAGCAATTTATTGCATTTTTTTATAGGTTATTGAATAAAATAGAGAAATCAACTATTCTATTTACGTTATTTTTGGCAATAAAATTAGACCATCTCGTATTTTCTTATTTTTACATTTTACCCATAAAAGTAAAAAAAAAATTACTGTACATGGTAGGTAAATCAAAAACCTACAATAGTGAAGCTAGTTCAATTATTATATTTTTGAGAAAATAGTTACAGCTTGTTTCGCATTTCATTTTCCAAAATTAATATTTCATTATCTTTCATTAATCATTTAAATTGCAGTGATATTTTCACAC